GCGGCAACTCGGAGTGCAATTGACTTTCTATGTTTCTAAATGTACTTGAGGGGCCAATTAGATAAGTTTTGCCGGCAGTTGCTCACGAGTCGCAGCTGGCGCCCCAATGCAAATCTAATGGCACTCAAATCAAGCCCAACATAGAACCAAACCCCCTTGCAGGAAGCCGAAGCCAAAGCCAAAGCCAAAGTCGAGGCGTATCGAGTCTCTCGCAATATTTAAACGTCTGCTGTAAATATTTGATGCCTAATTGAATCATTCATTCAGTTGCTCATTGCTCGGCACACACCAATACAGGCAGAAGAGCCTGACTGACACGCCCACAACTGACGCAATTGCCCCTTCGCTCAACGAGTTGATTTGAATAAATTTGAAATTCTGCTGAGTCTGCTTTGGCAGCATTTAGCCGCCAGCCTCTGCTGTCTGCCTGCTGCCAGCTGCCAGTTGCCAGTCTGCAATTTGTCTGCCAGCATTTGGCTGAAGGGCTGAGGGAAGCGGGGGGAGGGGGATCTGGTGTTGCACTGGCATCGACTTGACTCACAAATTTGCTGTTGCAGCAACAGCAGCATCTGCAGCAGCAGCAGCGGCAGCTGCCTGCACTGCATTTTATGGCATACTTTGCGGCGCATTATGCGGCGCGCGACAAAACGAAAATTGTGCAAATTAGCGCGTCGCTCGTTTGCTTAACACTCATCAATATTTGCATTTCAATTAGCGACAATACTACGGAGCATGGCCAAACATGGCTTACATTTCCCGCTTGACGCTTAACGTGACCAGCAACACGGGCTAACCAACAATTTTCCGCAAGACTCGGCACAAAAAAACTCAACTCAATATTCGCTCTGCGAATTATTCTGTCTGAAAAGCAATCGATGTAAGAATCGTTGTCATAATTTACTTTAAATATATATATATATAGCGGACCAAGTGCCATTGAGCTTAATTCAGCGCAAATATTCAATTATCCAACAATAGTTTGTCTTTTGGCTGTTACAAACAATTAATTAATGACAGCTTAGCATTGGAAAATTAGAGCTTTGGGCCTTAAATCGGATTAAGTGCATTAATTAGGGCACAATTCATTGTTTACATAAGAAAGAGCATACAATTTCTATCAAACTGAATAATTAGTTGATGAAAGCTTTGCGTTCAGAAACTAAAGCTTTAAGCTTTAAGTCAAATTAGTTGACAAATGAATAAGATGTTGTTTACTTAAGATAAAGCTCGGGCTTAAGTCAGCTCTTAAAAAAGAAGAGCTCTTAGGCCTAAGACCTTAGAGTAGAGGCAAGAAAGCTTCGTAAGCTTTAATGAGACAAGTTGTGAAAAAGTTAAGCCTTAAGCTGGAATAAGGAAAGCAATACAAGAAAGTTTTCCTACTTGACAAAGAGGTAAAGCCTTTAGCTTAATGTCAGCTTAAGTTTAAGACAGAGCTGGAGCTTTAAAAAGTCAAGAGCACTTAAGCGCTTAAGTTTCAAGAACTAAATATAGGAAAGCTTTAATTTGGTCGAGAAGTAAAGCTTTCAGCTTTAATTTATTAATTTAAAAAGTTACAAAAAAGTTTTCGTATTTGAATGCGAAGTGAAACTTTGAGCCTTCAGTCAGATCAAATACATTACTACAATTAATATATTTGTAAGGTAGTTTTTATAAAAGCATCTAATGCTAATGCTAAGCTTTAAGTTAGATTAACTAAGGACAGGCTTTCTTTAAAATGGGTTAAAGAGCAACTATGTTTCAAGAAAAGAATCTACAGAATAGACGTACAAGTAAATGACTCAAGTAACTGTAAGCTTTGAGCTTTAAATCAGATCAATTTTTAATGAGCGCGCTCACTTAAAGCTTCGCAAAGCTTTCGAAGCACATATTTACCTATTAATTTACTGCATTAATTGCTTAATTTCTTAATAAACCCACTTTAACTAACATAATCAATACAACTTTGATGAGCTGCAGAGCGACAGCAGCATCGATGGCAATAAGTTTTTGGCCCAAACGAAACTTTTATCATAATGAACACCAACTAGAGCAAAAAGAGAAAAAAACAACAACAACTTTGTCATGTTTATGACACGCTCCTGCCCAAAACTGACGGCACTTCAGTTTGTGAGGGCAAGCGGCGTGAGGGGGCGGGACGGTATGGGGTTGGCTGCGGTGCGGGGACTTGTCAAAAACAGCCGTTGGCAAGTTTTTTGATGTGCTCGGGCCGCAGGACAATCTAATAAACGAGCGCCAAGCCAAAAGCTCGGTCAGGCAAAAACTTTCGTTGACCTTTGTGGGTGGACTATGGAGCGGGGCGTGCCTGGTCAGGAGCTGTGATGAAAAATATACCTTTGAAGGATTCACTTTCACACACACGCACAAATTGGAATGAATAATGGAATATGATGAGAAAGAAAGCAGCACAAATGAGCTCAGTTGTTGTTGTTTCTGTGGGTCTTTTGTTGGCAATTTCCGTGCTTTATTGACTCGACATTGACTCTCTCTAGGGGGGTGCATGGGTTGGGTAGCGCCTGGAGTGTGCGTAAACCAAACAAACAAATAAACAAACCAAGTGAGAAACGTTGACACATACACTTACGAGATTAAAAAGAAGACAAAACAAAAAAAGCGCTTAACAAAAAAACAAAACAAAAACAAGTAAGAGGTTCTAGTCGGGAGCTCCCGACTAGGGGATACCCTGAACCCTCTTCTTCCAACATCAAATGCATATATATATTCTATTTTAGAAGCTATATGTCAAGTTTGGTGACTCTAGCTCTTATTATTTACCAAAATTGCCCACAAAACTGGATATCGGTATCGATTTTTATCGATTACTTGAACTCGGAGTAAGTTATCGATTATCGGAAACAACCGATCTGCGCAAGCACTAGGAACATCTACATCTAAAATTTCAAGTCTCTAGCATTTATAGGTTCTGAGATCCTTGCGTTCATACATACGGACAGAGGGACAGACAGACGGACAGACAGACAGACAGACGGACATGGCTAGATCGACTCGGCTATTGATGCTGATCAAGAATATGTATAATTTATGGGGTCGGAGATGCTTCCTTCTGCCTGTTACATACATTTGGCTTTCGCACAAATACAATATACCCTTATACCCATTTTTAATGGGTTCAGGGTATACAAAAAAATGAGTAAACAATATCCGCTGAGTTGGCCAAATTGAAAAGGCTCTCGCCCCACCTGAACGCCAGGAGGCTATCAACTAGCAGCTGCCAGCTTGCGGCAACTTCTGTGCCGCATATTTAATGAGGTGTCGTAAGTTTCTGCCTCAGCAGTTTGACAGCTTGCCACAGACGGATCGCTGCTCTCTCAGTTAGTTACTTAGTTCCCGCTAATAGCTGAGCGCAGGGGATGGCGAAGGGGCAGGGGGGCTGTACAAGTTTTGATGCTTTGATTTATAGCCGCAAAGTAATTTGGCAAATAGCCGGGCACATATTTGGTTCACAGGCAGCTGCTGTTTTCCGCTCGGCCGCAGCGTCCGCTCCATCAATGCCAATTAATTGTCGTTTATTTGGCCATCAATTGTCATTTCACAAATGATCCTTAACTCGACTGTCAATTTGGGCAGCCAAATTCTAAGCTGTCAATTAACAAATTGTTTTGCCGCTAAACAACAACCCCCAAACACGAACAACTTTTCACTTTTCCAATTTGCCAGCAAAACACAAAATATTTAATTACTTAAAAGTTTTTTACCACACTTTTGCTTTAAACTTTATATTTACAAGTTTATTTATACACATAAAACGGGGGTTTCTCTAACTGATTGTTTGAATGACTTACTGATTGATTGATGTATGAAGCACAGCCCAAATCGTGGCTATCATTCACAGTGCTAAGCTTTGGGACATAAGTAAACACTAAGTTTGGCATTCTTGATCAACTTGGCAGCAAAATCTGGCAACATGATCCTTGGTCGAAATTAATCTAAAAATGGTCACCCGCAAAATTTCGACCTTAAATATCCTATAAATATATATGTCAAAATTTCCCAACCCCATAACTCGGTCAAAACTCCACCGATTTTCATAAGGTTTGTCAAATCAACTTGGCATCAAAATCTGTCAACATGATTCTTGGTCGAAATTCATGTAAAAATTGTACCCTCAAGTCGTCAATTATCCTATATAGACATTAGACATGGGTCAAAATGTACTACCTCCATAACTCGGTCAAATCACATCCGATTTTCATAAGTTTTGGTTTTTTGTTCATGATTCGATCTCTAGATCAACTTGGCATCAAAATCTGGCAACATGATACTTGGTCAAAATTCATGTAGAAATGGTCGCCCGCAAAATTTCGACCTTAAATATCCTATAAATATATATGTCAAAATTTCCCAACCCCATAACTCGGTCAAAACTCCACCGATTTTCGACCTCTAGATCAATTTGGCTCTACACTTACTCTACTTAATAAAAGATTCGATCGGTTTCAAACTCATTAAAAGAATATAATGATAAAGCTTAGTATGGCCGCGCAATGCCGGCTAATGTGAGTTGTTAGTGAATTTAGTTAAATTTTCAATTCATTTGATGTTCATTTATAAAATCGCTTTAAAACAGCAGCGTTTATTTGTGCTGTGTATTGCCATTTGATTTAGTCTAATCAACGCTAAGCGTTCCCCTTCACACAAAACACGCGTCTTGCAGCCATAATTCAAATGCGGCTTAAAAGTCACAAGGCTAGGGCAAAGGCAAGAAAAAAGTTGAACAATAGACGCAACGCATAATTGTGCAGCGAACTGTATTAAACAGGGTCATATGCACAATTATAAGAATAACAAGAGTCGAGTAGAATAACAACAACGACAACAACAACAACAAAAACAACAAAAACAACAACAACAACAACAGCAATGTGGCATACGCACCACAAAATCTTAAAATTTTCTATGCGGCAAGCGGAAGTCGTCTGCGGCAGCCTCCTCTAAAGTCAGCTCAGACAGCGCGCAGCTCTGCCCCTCCCCACACCTCCATCCAGCTACTGCCGCTGCCACGCCCATATTCGTTATGGCTGGGCGACTGCGTGGCTTTAGAGCCCGCAAAGCACTCGAACGGAAAGCAGCATTGCGTTGGCTTTGACACAGCGTGGTGGGCTAGGGAGGGGGTGGAGGTGTTGCCTTTTAATTTTTCTCTATATTTTCTATTTTGTTTTCCTAACAAAACTGCAGCCCATTTGATTTGATTTGTGTATGTTTCTTTTGACGATTTGTTTAAGCGATTTGCTAACAAATTTGACGAACAACTTATAATTTCTTGTGGCTGCTTGAATTTGTTTGCTTTTGCTGCTGTCCCTTAACCCCTGACCCCCCGTACAGGCAAACAGGTCACGTGGCTATCTGGCGGGTTGGGGTTGGTTGGGAAGGGGCAACTATTAGCCTGTCGACTGGTTGGCATTGCAAATCATAAAAACTGCCAATCTCATTGCCATTGAAGGACTAATCCCGTAATTACAAATCCACGGCTCGCTGCCTTTCTCCATTGCCTTTGGCCAAGGATTGGCCAAGTCCCCGAGCGGTTCTGGTGCGGTGGATCGCTGGTCGAATTCTTGGCAAAAATCAATACGTTGCGTTTCTCTTGCTCAGCGCTGTGCTCATACTTTGTTTACCCTGTGCTAGAGCGCACAGAGGGTATATTTGGGAGACGAGCAATTGCTGCAATAACTCTTTGGGAATTATAAGCACAAGTCTTATGCTTTGCTTATCAATATAACTTTAACTCTTTGGGAATTATAGACCCAAGTCTTGTGCGTTGCTTATCAATGTATGTTTTGGTCAACTGTTAGTCGTGCATCCATGCCTTTGTCAATTGGCATACCCCGTGCTTGTACGGGTATAATTGGGTGTCTAGCTTTTGCGCTGCTTTAGCTTTAACTGCTTTAACTCTTTGGTAATTACAAGTCTTGTGCCTTGCTCTTCGCTTGGTATTTTGCTGATTCCAGGTCATCTGTTAGTCGTGCATGCTCGTCGCAGCCATGCCGCTTGTCATAACGTTGCCATATGCCCATTGTTAAGGTTCTTGGCCTCCGTTGCGTTCGGTCTTACATGAAATGCTGTGATAAGAGAAAAAAGAAATGTGAATGCATTGGCTGGGTGCTAGCTGTGGGGCGAAATGGGTCGGGGCATTAAAATTTATGCGCGGAATTGATGCCCCTTCGGGTTTTTGCTGCTGTTCGTTTTATAATTTGCACGCTGAGCTGCATTTTATCGGTCCTTAGATAATTTATATGTGCTTTTTATATACCTCACAGATATATATATATATATATATATATATATGTATATGGTCCATGTGGAAGTGTGTGTATTCTGGGCTCGACTTCAGTTCGATATGCAGCTGGGATCCCAGTTGATTTAGATAATGCGATTTCCTGCCACAGACTTTGCATTTCTTGTGGCATGCGGCATGTGGGGCAAGTTAATTGCGTTGCGCTTACAGCTGGGCGAGGGTGTCGCACTCTTTGCCCATTTGCTGGCAATGTTAATTTATGCAAAATGCCTCATACTCTGCGGCAAGGCTTGTGTCATTAACAAACGGCGACAAACGAGGGGGGCAAAGCTGCAAGCTAAAAGCTGAACCAAAGGCAAATCTCAGCCAGGCACCGCAAGTCTAATTTGCAAAATGTACTCAAACACACACACGCACACACACACGCGATGGCCAAGGTGAAGACCACATCAAAAGCATTCACTTGGCCAGTGGCTGGCACTGGATGCCACATTCGATGCATAAATCAGATTTAATTAATTTGACCTCTGTCAACCCAATTTGATTGCATATTGCATAGAGTTACAAAACATTTTCCAAAGACTCACCTGTTCGACCTGTTCACCCTGTTCACCTTCTCATTTCGTTTCACATTTAAAGCCAGCATTGTGTATTTTAACTTGGTTTCATTTTCCTGTGCAGTTGACATGGCCATCAAATTGATTTTCCTCTACCTGTCTACCTGGCTTGCCCCCGCCCCCGCCCACTCGCCCACTATGACTCGCGTGTGCTGCGATTGTTTTGGAATTGATATTGAAAGCTGTCAATTTGCATTTGACATCGTTTTCCATTTTTTGTTGTTGTCTTTGTGTTGCAACAACTGCACTTTTTTCCGCCATTTTGCTTTTACTTTTGCCAATACTCGAGCCAAAGTCCTCACAATCCCCCCCTGCACGTCGACGTCTACCTTCAGTATGTTTTGCCACTTGCTGGCATTTCGCGGGCTTTGTCTTCTTCATTTGGTACCCTGTAAAACGTGGCATAGTTGTTTAACGCCATATACGAATGTTATCGATACTTTAATATCGATACATATCGATAAATATCGATTTCTAAATAGGTTTTTTTAAACATTCGATTTCTAAATAGTGGTTTCTCGCATAGTCGAAAGTCAGTCGACATTTCAGAATAATCCTCATAACATACATTTATCTTGTTTCTCAATACCTGCCCCACATGATTTTTTTATCGATAAATATCGATTAATAGACATTTCAGTCATGCCCTCGAGACTGTAAGCCTGAGTCGCCAGATTTTCTATTTGGTTCCTCGTATTTTTCAACATATTTCGAATGTTTTACGTTTTTGTAGCAGGGTATCTAGGTCTAGGGAATTACCGACTGTATTTTGTGTGATTTTTGAGTGTGGATGCATGAAAATCCTTCGCCAGCTCTGACTTTGATGTGTTTGGACATTGTTTTCGTTTTTCGCTTTTCAAATTTCATTGTTTCGTTTTGTCGCTGTTGTTTCCACACGTTTTCCCCAAAGAGCACGTTTCGTTGCAAAGTGTTCAATGCGACAACAACAAAAACGAAAGAAAGGACAACAACAACAACAAGTACAATAACAACTTCATAGTTTACTTGTTTATGTCAACGACATTGTCAGCTTTTAATTTCATTCCAAAATTTTGCGTCAAATACATGAAGAGAGATTGAAGAGGTCCGGTAAAAGTGAGTTTTGCATGCGTGTTACAATTTTGGATATTTGTATTTCGAATATAATCATAGTCAGGACTAGAAGAAATGCAGTTATAAAATTTTGTAAAACCATTTCCTATTGATTACCTTTCGATAAAAATTAAGTTTAAGAATTTCTACAATTCTAATAAAATTTCTAAAAAAGATCTTTTGAATTGTCAAGCTTTGAGCTCCGCCAGTCAGGATCCTTCAGTCTGATATTATTTTGCCGGCGCTTTGTTTTCCATCTCTTTTCTATAATACATGCATGATGTTAAAGTAAAGATTATTTGCATGACTGTAAGCAGACAGGCAAGATAAGATAAGATAAGATTAATAATTTGTTAATTCTGGCAACTTTTGCTAAAACCTGCCTGGTAGGTAAATAGACAACAGGCACAAATACGGAATTATGGAGCTCATTATTATGCCAACCAAAAAAAGACACCCTTTGGTCTATGCAGAGAAGGAACAAAAATTAAAAACAAAGAATTGAGCACACATACAAATATTGAAAAAATGAGCTCAACTTACTTTCCAATAGCCAAGTATCAGTAATAGTCCCGCGACTGTGTGCACTAACGACAATACGAATGTGAGAATGGCCGCATATAAGGGACAATCAGTTGGATCAACTATTTGATCAGAGCTTGTGTTCAGATTTCGTCGAGATGGTACTATTTTGTTGACTACTTACAAAAATAATATATTGAGACTAGCGAAAAAAGTATTCCATGTACGAGTGTCCAAATGCTAAAAAAGAGCGCCTTGGTATCCAGCGGGCAACAGCCATTTTCGAGACAATCATTGGAGCAGCACATTTTTCGATTATTTGTTTTTTGAGTGTTATATACGTAATTTAAAACAGAAACAAAATGTATACGAATAAAAGATTGAGTTGTCAACACCTACAGGGCGACTGAGGTTTTAATGCCCTGAACCCAATGAAAATGTATCTCTGGTATATTGTAAGCTGTCAATTTGCATTTAACATCGTTTCCTATGTTTTATATTTTGTTCGTTTTGTGTTCCAAAAACTCCTCCGCGAGCCAAAGTCCTCCCTATCCTTCCCCGCACGTCCAGGCCTACCTTCAGTATGTTTGTCATCTGCTGGCACTTCGCGGGCTTTGTCTTTTTCATTTGGTACCCTGTAAAAAGTGGCATACGAATGTTATCGATAGTTTATTATCGATAAGTATCGATGTTTAAATGCGTTTTTTGAGCGTCCATAAAATCCAGTGACAGCAAATTTGATAAGTGGCTTCTCGCATAGTCAACAGTTTCTACATAATCCTCATAACATATATCGATTTTGCCCGATACCGCCCCTATTTGACATTTATCTATAAATATCGATTAATAGACTTTTCAGTCAGGCATCCGAGACTGCAAGCCTGAGTCGCCATTTTTGTTTTGTTCATACACATAATCTGAATGTTAGGCAAATGTTTACGCATTGTTATATGAAAAGTGTTCAATTCGATTTTGTGTTGCAACAACAACAACAACGAGTACAACAAACACAACAGCTACAATAACCACTTTATAGTTTATTTCTTTATATCAACGAATTTGTCAGCTTATAATGACATTCAAAAATTTTGCGTCAACTATATGAATATAATTGAGGAGGCCTGGCAATTAACTGGAATTTTGTCTACGTACTACAACAATTTTGTACATCTGTAATGTAATAACATAATCAGGACTAGGAGATGCCTGAAGCTATAAAAAGCTATGGTATAAAGTTATGTAAAAAATGTCCTATTGATTACTTTCCGCCTAAGATAAGTTATCTATTGAAATATGAATTCGATTCCAATTATCTATAAGAACTAAATTGTCCCATTGCATCCAAGTCATCAATTTCCATTTGCATTCATACAAATTTGATTCTTGATCAGCAATCAAAATCTGAAACTTTCACCTTCGGTCAGGAACTTGCAGTCTGGTATTATTTTGGCATCTCTTTTTTATAATATATGCATGATGTAATAGTAAAGATTATTTGAATGACTGGCAGGTAAATAGATGGCAATAATATATAGGGCATTATGGAGCTCAGAATGATGCCAGCCAAAAACAAGTATCTCATGTCCTATGCAAAGAAGGCAAGAAATTCAAATAAATAAAAATAATAGGCACACATAAATATATTTAAATGAGTTGAACTTACAGTCCCATAGCCAAATAACAAGCATAGTCCACCTGCTAGATGCACTATGGCGCCAATCAATAACAGAATGGGCCCATATAGTGGACAATTAATTGCGCCAACTATTTTTTCAGAGTTTTATGTTCACATTTTGTTGAGCTGAAACAATTTGAACTTACCAAAAAAGTAAATTGACGCGCCCAAAAAAATGACTCCATGCACGATAGTCCAAATGCTGAAGAACTGCGCCTTGACCTCCAGCGAGCAACAGACCTTTTCGAGACAATCATTGGAGCAGCACATTTTAATTAGATTTTGTATGTGTCTAAGTAATATGCTTAATGTTTAGGAAAAGAATGCGGATACGAAATATATATGCTGTATATGCTTAATGTTAAAAAAATAATTAGAGATACGAATGAAAGACTGAATTGTCAATGCCTACAGGAAGATTGAGAACACAGTTTAGTTTTTTTTTGACAGTAGTTGATTAGAATCTCTCAGTTCACTTACAGAAGATTTAATACTCTAGTAAACGTTTCACTATTGCAGATATCTGAGAATGGTGAAGCTGAGTTTGATATAGAACATCTTCGAAAATATAGAAAATTTTAAACAAACAAGAACCTGATTTTCAACAGATCTTTCCTACGGCAGCTATATGATATAGTACTCCCATCCGGCCGGTTATATATATATCTATATATACTCTTTTCGGATAACTTTTCTGTGCCCTTGCATATACACCTAGTGCTGTTTTTACAGGGTAGATGGGTTCCAGAAATATGTCATAGGCTGCTTATCTCTAAAACCTATTAAAAATTAGTGAAAAACAAGGATTTTTTATGAATATGTTTATTATATTAATACATATATATAATGCGCATTTACATAAGCATAGTTATTAAAGAAAAACAAGAAAATATTACAAGTTCAGGAACTAAAAAAAAACAATTATGTACAACAGTTGTTAAAAAATAAACAAGTAAGAGGTTCTAGTCGGGAGCTCCCGCTAGGGGATACCCTGAACCCTCTTCTTCCAACATCAAATGCATACATATATTCTATTTTAAAAGCTAAATGTCAAGTTTGGTGACTCTAGCTCTTATTGCCCAAAAAACAGGATATCGATATCGATTTTAATCGATTGCTTGGAAACGGAGTAAGTTATCGATTATCGGAAACAAACTTGCGTTCATACATACGGACAGACGGACAGACAGGCAGACGGACATGGCTAGAACGCCTCGGCTATTGATGCTGATCAAGAATATATATACTTTATGGGGTCGGAGATGCTTCCTTCTGCCTGTTACATACATTTGGATTTTGAAGAAATACAATATACCCTTATACCCATTTTTAATGGGTTCAGGGTATATAAAGCCAAACCGTGAAAATCGGATGAGATTTGGCTGAGTTATGGGGGTGGTAATTTTTGACCCATGTCTATATACGAATCTTGGGGTAAGATTTGGACATGCATTTCGACTAAAAAATCGGTGTTCAGATTTGAATGCCAGATTAATCTAAAAGGAAAACCATGAAGAAAAAGCCAAACTTCGTGAAAATCGGATGAGATTTGGCCGAGATATGGGGGTGGTAAATTTTCCTCCATGTCTATATACGAATCTTGGGGTAAGATTTCGACATGCATTTCGACAAAAAAATCGGTGTTCAGATTTGAATGCCACATTAATCTAGAGGGAAAACCATGAAGAAACCCCCAAATTTCGTGAAAATCGGATGAGATTTGGCCGAGATATGGGGGTGGTAATTTTTGACCCATGTCTATATACGAATCTTGGGGTAAGATTTGGACATGAATTTCGACCAAAAAATCGGTGTTCAGATTTGAATGCCAGATTAATCTAGAGGGAAAACCATGAAGAAAAGGGCAAACTTCGTGAAAATCGGATGCGATTTGGCCGAGATATGGGGGTGGTAAATTTTGACCTATGTCCATATATGAATCTTGGGGTAAGATTTGGACATGGATTTCGACCAAAAATCGGTGTCGATATTTGAATGCCAGATTAATCTAGAGGGAAAACCATGAAGAAAAAGTCAAACTTCGTGAAAATCGGATGAGATTTGACCGAGTAATGGGGGTGGTAAATTTTGACCCATGTCTATATACGAATCTTCGGGTAAGATTTGGACATGCATTTCGACCAAAAAATCGGTGTCGAGATTTGAATGCCACATTATTCTAGAGGGAAAACCATGAAGAAAAAGTCAAACTTCGTGAAAATCGGATGAGATTTGACCGAGTAATGGGGGTGGTAAATTTTGACCAATGTCTATATACGAATCTTGGGGTAAGATTTGGACATGAATTTCGACCAAAAAATCGGTGTCGAGATTTGAATGCCACATTAATCTAGAGGGAAAACCATGAAGAAAAAGCCAAACTTCGTGAAAATCGGATGAGATTTGACCGAGTTATGGGGGTGGTAAATTTTCCTCCATGTCTATATACGAATCTTGGGGTAAGATTTTGACATGCATTTCGACTAAAAAATCGGTGTTCAGATTTGAATGCCAGATTAATCTAGAGGGAAAACCATGAAGAAAAAGCCAAACTTCGTGAAAATCGGATGAGATTTGGCTGAGTTATGGGGGTGGTAATTTTTGACCCATGTCTATATACGAATCTTGGGGTAAGATTTGGACATGCATTTCGACTAAAAAATCGGTGTTCAGATTTGAATGCCAGATTAATCTAGAGGGAAAACCATGAAGAAAAAGCCAAACTTCGTGAAAATCGGATGAGATTTGGCCGAGATATGGGGGTGGTAAATTTTCCTCCATGTCTATATACGAATCTTGGGGTAAGATTTCGACATGCATTTCGACAAAAAAATCGGTGTTCAGATTTGAATGCCACATTAATCTAGAGGGAAAACCATGAAGAAACCCCCAAATTTCGTGAAAATCGGATGAGATTTGGCCGAGATATGGGGGTGGTAATTTTTGACCCATGTCTATATACGAATCTTGGGGTAAGATTTGGACATGAATTTCGACCAAAAAATCGGTGTTCAGATTTGAATGCCAGATTAATCTAGAGGGAAAACCATGAAGAAAAGGGCAAACTTCGTGAAAATCGGATGCGATTTGGCCGAGATATGGGGGTGGTACATTTTGACCCATGTCCATATATGAATCTTGGGGTAAGATTTGGACATGGATTTCGACCAAAAATCGGTGTCGATATTTGAATGCCAGATTAATCTAGAGGGAAAACCATGAAGAAAAAGTCAAACTTCGTGAAAATCGGATGAGATTTGACCGAGTAATGGGGGTGGTAAATTTTGACCCATGTCTATATACGAATCTTGGGGTAAGATTTGGACATGCATTTCGACCAAAAAATCGGTGTCGAGATTTGAATGCCACATTATTCTAGAGGGAAACCATGAAGAAAAAGCCAAACTTCCTGAAAATCGGATGAGATTTGGCCGAGTAATGGGGGTGGTAATTGATGACCCATGTCTATATACGAATCTTGGGGTAAGATTTGGACATGAATTTCGACCAAAAAATCGGTGTCGAGATTTGAATGCCACATTAATCTAGAGGGAAAACCATGAAGAAAAAGCCAAACTTCGTGAAAATCGGATGAGATTTGACCGAGTTATGGGGGTGGTAAATTTTCCTCCATGTCTATATACGAATCTTGGGGTAAGATTTTGACATGCATTTCGACTAAAAAATCGGTGTTCAGATTTGAATGCCAGATTAATCTAGAGGGAAAACCATGAAGAAAAAGCCAAACTTCGTGAAAATCGGATGCGATTTGGCCGAGATATGGGGGTGGTAAATTTTGACCCATGTCTATATACGAATCTTGGGGTAAGATTTGGACATGGATTTCGACGAAAAAATCGGTGTCGAGATTTGAATGCCACATTAATCTAGAGGGAAAACCATGAAGAAAAAGCCAAACTTCGTGAAAATCGGATGAGATTTGGCCGAGATATGGGGGTGGTAATTTTTGACCCATGTCTATATACGAATCTTGGGGTAAGATTTGGACATGAATTTCGACCAAAAAATCGGTGTTCAGATTTGAATGCCAGATTAATCTATAGGGAAAACCATGAAGAAAAACCCAAACTTCGTGAAAATCGGATGAGATTTGGCCGAGATATGGGGGTGGTAAATTTTGACCCATGTCTATATACGAATCTTGGGGTAAGATTTGGACATGGATTTCGACCAAAAAATCGGTGTCGAGATTTGAATGCCAGATTAATCTAGAGGGAAAACCATGAAGAAAAAGCCAAACTTCGTGAAAATCGGATGAGATTTGACCGAGTTATGGGGGTGGTAAGTTTTGACCCATGTCTATATACGAATCTTGGGGTAAGATTTGGACATGCATTTCGACCAAAAAATCGGTGTCGAGATTTGAATGCCACATTAATCTAGAGGGAAAACCATGAAGAAAAAGCCAAACTTCGTGAAAATCGGATGAGATTTGGCCGAGATATGGGGGTGGTAATTGTTGACCCATGTCTATATACGAATCTTGGGGTAAGATTTGGACATGAATTTCGACTAAAAAATCGGTGTTCAGATTTGAATGCCAGATTAATCTAGAGGGAAAACCATGAAGAAAAAGCCAAACTTCGTGAAAATCGGATGAGATTTGGCTGAGTTATGGGGGTGGTAATTTTTGACCCATGTCTATATACGAATCTTGGGGTAAGATTTGGACATGAATTTCGACCAAAAAATCGGTGTTCAGATTTGAATGCCACATTAATCTAGAGGGAAAACCATGAAGAAAAAGCCAAACTTCGTGAAAATCGGATGAGATTTGACCGAGTTATGGGGGTGGTAAATTTTCCTCCATGTCTATATACGAATCTTGGGGTAAGATTTTGACATGCATTTCGACTAAAAAATCGGTGTTCAGATTTGAATGCCAGATTAATCTAGAGGGAAAACCATGAAGAAAAAGCCAAACTTCGTGAAAATCGGATGAGATTTGGCTGAGTTATGGGGGTGGTAATTTTTGACCCATGTCTATATACGAATCTTGGGGTAAGATTTGGACATGCATTTCGACTAAAAAATCGGTGTTCAGATTTGAATGCCAGATTAATCTAGAGGGAAAACCATGAAGAAAAAGCCAAACTTCGTGAAAATCGGATGAGATTTGGCCGAGATATGGGGGTGGTAAATTTTCCTCCATGTCTATATACGAATCTTGGGGTAAGATTTCGACATGCATTTCGACAAAAAAATCGGTGTTCAGATTTGAATGCCAGATTAATCTAGAGGGAAAACCATGAAGAAACCCCCAAATTTCGTGAAAATCGGATGAGATTTGGCCGAGATATGGGGGTGGTAATTTTTGACCCATGTCTATATACGAATCTTGGGGTAAGATTTGGACATGAATTTCGACCAAAAAATCGGTGTC